ACTTCAGGGGTTGAGAAAGGAAACCTTCGTGAACTAGCTTTAGCTCGTATGGATGACTTGGGCTTGAAGTGTCGGGACGTTCGAACACGTGAAGCAGGAATCCAGGTAAGGAGACACAATGATGCTCCTGAGGAATCTGTTCATGCTGAAAAGGAATATAATATTTTGAGAATGTAATAACATGTTTATTATTGGATTCAGGACATTCACCACAAAATTAAACCAGAAGAGGTTGAGCTTGTTCGACGTGATTACACAGCAAATGAAGGTTGGGAAACATTTCTGTCCTATGAAGATACACGCCAGGTACTGCAAGGACCCTCTCTTTCTATTGGGGGGGGGGGGGGGTGGTGTGTCAGACACGAATATCTATTTCATATCTCTTGTTAACTGGCCCAATTACATGGTCTTTACTGTATTAGTGTATAAATATTATATCATACCTAATTTGAAAAATGAAAAATGCTTGTATTTCTTGATACAATGTCTTTTACGTTGCAGCTTGTCTGTGCTAAAACATAATTTGCCTTATTGTTTTGGATGCAGGATATTCTTGTTGGGTTGTTGCGACTGCGAAAATGTGGCCGGAACACTACATGCCCTGAACTAATGGGGAAATGTTCTATTGTCCGTGAACTTCATGTGTATGGAACTGCTGTTCCAGTTCATGGCAGGGATGCTGACAAACTGCAACACCAGGTAATGATTAAATCTTTGGTACTAAAACATAACCTAGAAAGAACAGAGTTAAATAGAAGTTGCCCTATTTCTTTTTTGAGCAATGTCTGGAACTTGTCTTTAGCCAGGTCATCAAGTAACCTTTTGGCCAACTGCTTGTATTTTTCCCTTCATTGCAGGGTTATGGTACGCTTTTGATGGAAGAAGCAGAGCGAATCGCTCGCAGAGAGCATAGATCAACAAAAATAGCTGTTATCTCTGGTGTAGGAACACGCCATTATTATAGGAAATTGGGGTATGAGCTTGAAGGGCCTTACATGGTGAAATATCTTGTTTGACTAAGCCAGTTTTGGATGTAACACAATTTTGTATGCTCGTATATGGAGGATTTGTCAAATTTTAGTCACACATATTTTAATTTGTGATAGCAGAGTGAGCTTGTTCTATTTTTTGTCTCCATGAAGTCAAAAACTGATGTTGCTATGCATTGGCAAATTTGTCAAGACAATTTCAAATACAATGACATAAAAATGATATGAATAAAAAACTATAAATATAACATGATTTAAAATTTTAATAAAAATTATAAATAAATTTAATAAAATTTATATTTTATATTTTCGTATTTACACAAAATATTGATTTTAATTTTTATAATTTTTATATCAAATGTAATTCAAATATATAAATTATCAATATTTTATACAATATAAATATATAAATTAGCATATGTGTATTCAGAAATTTCAATGACATGCAAGAATGTGAAAACATTTTTTTGAAATTTTCGGCTTGAAGCAATAAGAAGGTGTTCGTTTCCAGGCCCATTTCACTGTTTCTCCACCGGTCTTAAGCCCATATATACTAATTGAAAACAATTGATGCCAGCAACCTATTCAGGTTTCCCTGATTTTTTTTTTATCACAAAAATATAAGTAAAAAATTTCACAAAAATCTCTAAAAATCATAAAAATAATAAAAAGTATCATCAAATATCAATTAAAAATAAATTAAAATTCACATTAACAAAATAAAATAAAATTTTCTATCAAATCAAAACTAAAAATATATTAATAGATATACACATTTAATCATTTACAATTAATATTAATTATGATAATAAAGAATAAACTATATAATCATATTGATTTATTATAATTTAAATTTTAAATTTTATTTATCATTTCAATAAATTATATATGCTATATACGCTAAGGTTTTATAATTTGAAAAACAAAAATATAAGTATAAAATAATAAATTAAATTAAATAATACATTTAAAATATTTACGTATTTTATGCATAATATACTTATTGTTTGACAAATGATATAATGCATGAAATTATTATATTCATACTTAATTTTATTTTTTAATACAATGCTAGAAAGATGGAGATTAAAATTAATATTTATAATAACAAACGTTTATTTAGCATTAAATAAAACAATTTAAATATTAATTTTTTATTTTAAATTTATACCTTATAACAAAAGTTATCTCCAGCGCCAATTTATTGTGCCACCTCTCCTAAAAAAAATTTGATGGTTAAAATTGAGAAAAAAATTAAGAACAAATTTGTGAAAAATTTTTGCATGTATTTATTCCACATGCCAATATAACATTATAAAAGCTAAATTTTTTTTTACTCATTTCACTTTTTTAATTTAAAAAAATATATCTTTTCCAAAACCTAACTATAAGATTTTGATGCCTTAAAAATGTAGAATATATGTGACTCTGGTAATATTTCATGTACTGAAGTTGACAAAAGTGAAAACTATGCCTTAGTTAGAAAGTGTATGTGTTTCTGTTTTATGACTCATATTTAACAGCCTTTTCAGAACAATCTTATTATTTTTACCCTTACTTGGTTTACATTTGTAACATTCCTTAGCAAAGATGATCATCGTAAAGTTGTGACTAATACCAATAGCCATAAAATAATCTTTTGTAGCTATAAACCAGTCATTGAACATATACACTGACATGTAAACATACATTTAGTTGTGCAAATGTATATATGTTTTTTAATGTTTTCTTGAAAGAACATTTGTACTTGATTGCATATTATCAATTTCTAGAATATTTTTTATTCTAAATAGTAATGCATGTTGTTTTCAAAACATCCACAAATTAATTTCAGTTACAATTTTGGAAAATGTGGTTTTTAAATTTTTTTAGCTGTAGTTTTATGTTTAAGGAATTTGATGGGTTGCAACTTATTGAATTTGAAAAAAAATGAAAAAAACAAGTATTTTTATCAATATTATTTGGAATTATGATTAGTTGAAGTCAAGGCTAGGTCTTTATCAGGAATATGGGATTGAGTTGCTATCATGGCAAAGCATTACATCCTCATTATTAATTTTATATTTTATATTTTAATATTTTAATATTTTATTGATTCAAGCAAACTTTTTTCTTTTTATGGTTCTTTTTTCACGGTTCACCTCTATAATGTTTATTTTGTAGTTTTGATTTCCTTATAAAATAAACCTTTTGTGGGGTTTAACGTGTAACAGTTCTGATTTCCTTCTAAAAAACTTTTAAAATGCTCTAAATTTGTTCCTACATGCCTAAATTAGATATAAATAGTCTATTGCTTATACCAATTGAGATATATGACTCGTCTTAGATATAATTTATGTCTGTTGTGATTACATTATGATTTCAACTTTCAGACAACCTACAGTCTAAGCTAATGAAATACACAAAAAAACATGGATACAACTATTTTTTATTATATATTTTTTAATATTTAAATTAATATACAACTATATTTTACTCTCGCAAACAAAACTGCAGGCTTGAAGTTTTAAAATGGAAATCTAGTCATGAGGAATTCTTTTTTTAATTGATTAGATATTGTGTGAAAGCAAGTATGTGAAGAGGGTTGATAATGCAACTCAATAAGCAAAAGAATTGTCATAGTGTATGAATCTTTGCCATTACTGGAAGTTTCGATGTCATTTGAATTTTGTGTTGGTAATTTTTATTGTTCTGCTTTCCTTTTATGTGAAATTTCTTTGAATTATCTACAAAATTCTATGGAAAGGCATTACAAATTTATAATTATAACGGTTGTTGGAATTTATTTACTTCTGTCACCAAGAATTCAAAATCTGCCTCAGGATTCTTATTGATATTGGTAAGTGGATTGTGCTTTGATTTATCAATAAGCTATTAAACCTGAACTGAAAGGTTTTATGTTAGTCCTTGTGGCATGTACTATACACTTTCGCACAAAGGCTTTAATTAATGCAATGGATTGACCTATAATTTCTTGCATGCAAGCAAACAGTGACTTTGATGCTAAACTTATGATTATGCTTTTGGGTCAATATTCAACTAAGATAACTACATTTATAAAACATTTGTTACAATGTGATTACCCAGGTTAACAAAAGGCTTTCATTCCCTTTTTCTTTGCTATAAACATGCTATTATGGTAAGTTGGTTATGATGTGTTTTAATATTTCCATCATCATTAGACTTGCAAGAGCTCATATAGGGCCAAAGCCTACAACTAATTGATTTGTGGCTGTAATGGTATGTAAAACCATGTATAGATATGATAGCATTGATAACAAAGAAAAGGTGAATTTTTTTTCTTTTAATTGATGTCTTTATATGTTTATTTATTATTGATTATAATATTTATTATTTATTATTTATGAATTATAATATTATAAGACTAACTATAATTTATTAAAAAAAAATTACAAGCTATTTATTAATATATAAGTTGAGTATGTTGTGATGATTGTTATTACAGTAATACGTTACTCTAATAAAAAAAATAATGCAATTCCACGACGTAACGGGGACAACCTATATTATTTTATTAAAATAAACTCTTAAATTTTTTAATTAATTATAGTAATAATTAAAATACGTATAAAAATATAATTCAACAGTCTAACAGGCAATAATAGCCAGTTGACTTTAAAAACCCTTTCGAAACGGGCAGATGCAAGCCAACAAGCAAGCAACTACCCCACCCAAAACCCAATGCCCGTAATCTTAACTGCTCAAATATAGAAATAATAATTTAAAATATAATAAGATGATATAATATTAAAATAATATAAAAAATATATTATACAATTTAAAATTTTAATAAAATTATAAATATATTTTTTATATTTTAATATTCATGTAAATTATAACATATAATTTAATAAAAATTAAAATATATATTTTAATTTTTGTATAAAATATAATATTAATATACAAAATATTAATATTTTACACCCTAAAAATATAAAAATAATCATGTCCCAGAGAAAGTCGAAAATAAATTATTTTTGAATTCAAATCAAAACACAAATCCGCTGGCAAATTCTCCCTTCTCCTTTTGTATTTTTCTTCTTTTTTAATAAGTGTTTGATGGATATTAGGTTTCCACGAGACCTTCCTGTCTGCGTCGTCTTCAGTCGAAAGACCTTTCTTTGTTCAATGAACATCAAACGTTGATTGACTATTAAGAAAAAAAAAAAAAACAAAACCCAGAGTTTAAATTCCACTGTTTTTTCTCTTTGTTTTACAATATTGTTGTTAGTGTGTTGAATTTGGCCTAAACAAAGGGAAATCATGGATTATTTTGAGCTTTATGCAAGTTCCTCTTACCAGGATTACATTAAGGTTCTTGAAGCTGACATTCAACATGCCAATATGCTGTGAGTTCACTCTCTTTTTCTCCTTTTTTTTTTTGTTGTTGTTGTAGGAAATTGGACTTGCTTGAAGTTGAATGGTACTTGAAATTTGATGGGATTCTTTGGGAATCTAGTTTTGATCATGGTTAGTACTGGGTTTGCTGTCTGTTATGAGTTATCATACAACCATCTGGAAAAGATTGAAGCTTTATTTTTATTCATGTGTTGAAAAGGCCTCCTTTGCATTTCTGTTAAGAATTGCTTGATGTTTTCTATCGTAAAAATATATATATAAACAGTCGTTGACAGATTCATGGAAAAAAAAATTTCCAAGCAAAATATTTGATTGGGTTTTTACAGAGTTTCAGGGATCAAGCTTTTATTTTTAGAAAATCTGCAATTTGTATGATCGTGTCCTTTGCTTTTGACCAGACAATCTAAAATATGGCATGAATATGATATAAAAATAGGACACAAAGAGGACACGGCTTAAATTTTAGCAATAACTATATGTAGGTTAAACAAAATAAAAAAAATGTATTTTATGATTTTGAGTCGACACAAATTGTAACACGCAATTTTTATGTAAAACATAGTATGAATACATGAATTTTAATATTTTACATAATACGAATATAAAATTGCCAGGTTATACAGTAATAATTCATAATTTTTGTAACATTACTTCTCAATTTGCACGGTAATATTTCAATTCTACTCCTTTTTCTGTTTTTGACTATATTTTTATATTTTTATAAACTGTTGTTAGAGCGGCTTCTATTCCAAGAGCTAAGGGGGATGCACGTCTTCAAATGAAGCTGGTTTACAATCATTTGGCACCCATTGTCCTGTTTTTTCTTCAATGGTTGAATTGCTCATGTTCATGTCTACTTTCAAGTTATCTAAACCTATTTCACATTGTTGTGTATCAGGTCAGTTAACTTGTACTAAATTATTTACGGGTTTCTATTTTGAATTCTATGATTTAGTTTTACTCCATTTCATCTTGTCATTGTTGTTGTTTTGCTTTCCTCTTCTTACAATTTTCATTAGGAAGATGAAAGCAATTATTGTTAATGAAACTTGTTTGCTTGTTGATTTATGTTTATAGGTATGCTCAGATGGCAGGCCAAGTATCTCTTCATGTAGAAGGAAAGCGACCGTAAGGGAATTCTACTGTATGTGAAGTGGACTAACATCTCTCTCATATTGTTTTGCTCTTAATTTATTCTATATTTGGTGATTTAAGAGTAGAAAAGAAGTGAGAATAACAAAAGAAAGAATTTAAGTAAGATATTATTTCTCTTGTTTTTTTGTTGGCATAAATGAGGCCGTAGCCTAGGGATAGGGGAAGTGATTGTAGGTGTTAGGATTTGAATCCCAAACTCGCTAGATCTCACCTCTTAAGGGTAGTTGTATGAACCAACTGGACTAAGTCTCAGGTTCATATTTCTCTTGTTTTTCGCGTCTCTGTTCCCTTGACTATCCAAACAAGAGGAAGAATTGAACTATTCACGTTTCTAAATCTAAATAAACTGGTAAATGCCAATAGTCTGTTTGTAAAGAATTACATCTTCATCATGCACAACATTGTAGCAGGTCTCTTTGGTCTGTATTCTTAATTCAGGAATCCTGTAATTGAGTTTATATACATTAATCTCGTCTGGTCTGGACCACAATCCAATCCTCCTGGAAGCCTAAACCATTTGTCTTAAAAGATTGAATTGTCTTCTTTAGAATTTATGCTTTAAATTTGGAATTGAACAGGAAGGCATTCATATTATCAGAATTCATAGAGTTACTGATGTAAAATTGCAGCTGTCATATTACCATCTCTTCAGCATCTTCATGATGATCTTTCGGAGCTTGATGTAACTGCAGAGGCAGATCACTGCTTTGAGATGGTTGTAAAGAAGAAATTAGATGATAAGAGGAAAGTATCAGACGTGGAGTTGGAAAGAGAAGATGAATGTGGAATCTGTCTGGAGCCATGCAGCAAAATAGTTTTGCCAAATTGCTGCCACGCAATGTGTATCAATTGTTACCGTGACTGGTATGTTATGCCTCATTTTTCCTAGTCGTGGACCTTGGCCCTCCGTTAATATACTATAATCGAGAAAATCCTTATCCTTAACTCTGAATCACTCTTTCTTCCTTTGTTTTTTCTTGCCTTTCAGGAGCTTAAGATCAGAATCTTGCCCATTTTGTCGTGGAAGTCTAAAAAGAGTAACTTCTGGGGACTTGTGGGTTCTTACACGCAGTACTGATGTGGTTGAAACTCAAACTGTGGTAAAGGAGGATATGTTGCGCTTCCATTTGTTTATAAACCGGCTGCCTAAGGATTTGCCTGATGCCCTGTTCTTAATGTATTACGAGTATTTAATCTAATCCGCTAGGAGAAAATTCTGATGTACAGAGAGAAAATTGCCAACAGCTGGATGTACATATATTCTGGTGAGATTCTGATTTCACATTGAGAATTTCAATTCCACAATATGTTTTTAGCAAAATAATGTATATGATCATGTAAGATCCACAATTATTAACATATTAATTAAGTCTGTAGCATCTCCCAGCCTTAAAATTTATTTTTGTTAATCAAAGGTGGAGTGTTGGAGTATTTCTATTGATCGGTCATGTCATATAGGCCCGAGTCGGACATCCAATTGCTTCGATTTGAAGTATCCGGAGGATGTCTTATATATATTAGGATCATCACTTAACTGGAAAATTGTTGGATGCTCTGAGATGGTTAACATTTTTAAGCCTGAGTTTCCATTAATAGTTAACTTCTTGCTTATGAGCATTAGACTTTGGAGAGCTTCAAGTCTGAGGATGACAGTTTATTGAAGCCTTATAGCTTTGTTTGCAATTTCATATTGATAATAATAGGGAAAGTTAATGTCATATGCTGCAAGTTGGTGGCAGTTCCAAATTTAAGGAGGATGAAGAAAACCAGCATTGCTTGAATGTGTATTTTGAAATGCCAAGGAGCAAGAAAAATGGTGCAGTAAACAACTACCAACATTAGACCCACAACTGAGTTTCTTCTTTAATATACTTCATAAAAATGGCAGTTCCTTAAATTTTAATAGAAAAGTGACTAGATCAAAGCTCTACTTTTACTTATATATTTGTGGTGTTTATAATTCGGTTTTAACCAAATTAACCGATCGAATTTATTTAATTTAATTAATCGATTAGTTATCAAATTAATTTCAGTCAGTTATTGAAAATGATTTTAAAAATTTTTTTATGTTTAGTCAATTCAATTAAAAATTTGAGTTAATTGAATTAATGGAAATTTTTACTCAAATATAATAAAATTTATATATAAAACTAAAAATATATGAATTTGCCCATTTCATTTCAAGTGATTAAAGTTTTTAATTTGATACTCTAGCGTTTGAATATTTTTGTTGGTAATTTTATTTCATTAATTTTACATATGAGAAATTAAAAATTAAAAATTTAATTTAATTTAATGTATTTGATTATTCAGTTAATAAAAAAATTAATTGAATTAATCATTTTGATTTGTTGAAATTAAAAAATTTGATTTGATTAATAAAAATAAAATAATATAATTCAATTAATTCAATTTAAAATTTACTAAACTGGCAAATAAACACCCATAATTTGCTTCACAATAGGTGGCTGCAAGTTGCTAGCTAGTCACTTAGTTGCAAAACAAGAAGAACCGGTCCTTCATGATTTCTGGCTGATCACAGAAAGGGGAAATGTCAGTGAACATACCACACTTGCCATTGCTAATGAAATCCAGTAGTAATCTTGATGCTAAGTTTCTGCTTAAATGGTTAACAGATTCATTCTACTGAGATTTGCATTGGCTTTTCGTGATTAATCACAAGTACATTATTGTTATAACCACTCTGAACATGTTTTGCTTAGATGAAAATCTCTGTTAAGTATCAGTTAAAAAACCTACAAATATTAATTTAAATCTGAATTAAAATTTTAAAATTTATAATATTATATATTAATTAAAATAATCAAATCGAATATGATTTGAATCGTTATTACTTATTTTAACAATAATGATGCGAATTCACCTTTAACTAGCGTAAATTTCACCTCAATAGTGTTGCCTTGGATCTTATGGTAGAGTGGCAAGAATGGCAAAGACAATGATAGAGCCACAAATTCAATCACTGGCCGTTCATCGGAGTAAAGGTTCGTAGGGTGATGAAAGTTGGTGCCGTAGGGAGTAAGGGTGTAAATGATACATTAGTATTCGTAAATTATTCGGATTCGATTCGAAGAAAATTCGAATTCGGTTCGAAGAAAATTAGAATTCGGTTCGATTATTATCGAGTTAAGCTCGAGTTCGAGTAGTTTGATTTATCAATCGAACCGAATTCGAATATTCTTATATCCGACTTGAGTAGCTCACGAGTCTAATCGAGTTTTTATATTTAAATATATATTTATTATTTTAATTAATAAAATATTTCGAGTATGAATTCGAGTTCAAGTTCGAGCATGAATAATCGAACTTGAATTCGAGTTCGAGTTCGAGCATAAATAATCGAACTATTGTCGAGTATACGAATCGAGTTTATTTTTACATATTAATCGAACGAGCTCAAGTAGCTCGAATTTGATCACGAATCGACCTCGAGCTTGAAAAATAAAATTCGATCGAGCTCGAACCGATTATCAAACCCAAAAGTTGTGAGTCGAGCTCGAGCTTCTCACTATTCGACTCGACTGTGCTCGACTCGATTACACCTCTAATAAAGAGGCTTACTTGACACATTGATTATAAGACGAATTAATTAAATTAAATATTAAATTTGATATATAATTTTTTTTACGTAACATATATGATATAAATGACATGTTTATTTAAATTTTTTTAATAAAATTACATATTTCAATTGAAATTAAAATTATAATAAAATAATTTTAAATATACATTAAAAACAATAAACTAATCAAATCAACATTCAATTATACAAAATTCAAATTCACATTTGTAGAACTTAAAATCTAATATATATCAAAATATTTCCCATTGCAATGGAAACAGTACTTAATTGGCGACAATTCGAAACTGGTCAACATGAATTGGTAAATTGCTTTAGGAAACCGGCCAATACTGCAATAATTAATTGAATTTTTTGCTAGACCGTTTACAAGACAAGGTAAAGGCCACGTGTAAGAATTCCACAATACTCCAAAACGAAAATTTAATATCGCTGCAATGTTATTTCTAAAAAACCATGCATCAAAGATATATTTTGTTAAAAAAATATTATACTATTTTTTAATTAATAAATATATAAAAAATTCACTTAAATCAATAAAAAATATATTTTGTTAAAAAAATTATACTTTCTTTAAATTATTTATATAAAGAGAGGTAAATTTATAATAGTGTAAAATTTTTTAGTTTATATTTTTTAATTATTAATTTAATAAATAAAAATTTATTTTATCTATTAAATTTATTAAAATTAATAGTTAAAAAATTTTACATTAATATAATCTATTTTTTTACATAATTATATTTATATTCTTAGGGCTTAAGGATTATAAAATGATACTGCCGTTTCCGAAAGCAAACGCGTCCCGCTTTTGTAAAGTAGGTCTAAGGCACTCGCATCAAAATATTGTCCGAGCATAGCTGTCGTAACAAATCCTATCCGTTCATCACTCCAAGAATTGAAAATTCGTCGAACGTTGATTTCATCAGACGGTTCAAAACTGAGGGTTGATCAGTAATTCAATCCACCACCTTTCTATTTTCCTTTGCCCGTGGCCTCCGCGTTCACATTTTGCTTTTCTTCTTAACACCTCATTCCGAAGTCCTCTCTTGAAAATTTCTCCATAGATTCGTTGTACATCCAACTCAACACCACCGAGTCGAGCCATTCAACTCGTCCTGAGTTGGCGTCTCCGTTTCGTTTTTCCCCTGTTCCGGTTTTCTTTCTCAAATCTTCACTATTATATGAAAAAATCTAGGGTTTTTTTTTTTTTTTTAATTTGAATTTCTCTGTTGGTTTGGAAGTTTCTTGAGATTCCATGGCTAGGGCTAATAGAAACTGGGAGAGGCTGGTGCGAGCTACCTTGGAGAGAGAGCAGCTCAGAATTGCGGATCAAGGTCATGAGAGGACTCCGAGTAGAATCGCAGGTGCTGTCCCACTCCCACCCTCGCTTGGTCGCGCGTCTAACATCGACGCCATCCTTCAGGCTGCCGATGAGATTCAATTGGAGGACCCCCAAGTTGCTAGGATACGTATGTCATTTTCTTTTTACCCTTATTTTCTTTGTCTTACTGCATCATTGAGGCTACTTAATCATATGATCTGATGGTAGTTTAAGTTGTGGACTTGTTGAGTGAAGTGGCTTGAAAGCTGCCTTTGAGAGTAAGATTTTTGGTGTTTGATTATGTTGACTGCCATATATGGTTCATCATATTTGCTTGTAGTGCTGATTTGTTAGGATAGATTTATTTCAACTATTCAAAAAATTATAGGAGTTAAATTCTTCTCTTCTGATTGTGCACCTACTGGAGGAGAGGTTGGAATTTGGACACAGTACAAAAGTCTACTTGGGTTTCTTTAGCTTTTGTGTTGTCTCTTGCTTTGAGTGTTTGGTTTGTAAAATAGCAGTCAGCATAGACGATGCCTAGCTGAACTATCCTTATGGGAATTTGTGATGAATGTATTGCAGGATCAAAAGGAAAAACCATGCATGATTACATATTTCAAATTTAGAATCAGCAGTACTGGTAGTGCTATAGAACAAAAGCAGTAGAAACTCATAGAAATGGACATTAAGGGGGAATATGGTTCGAACTGAATGATCTTTGGGCCTAGGAGACATGGTACATAGATGTGGCAATGTGATATTTCTCCATGTGTATTTAAGGCGTTTGGAAATTCAGGTCATTGAGAACTTGAATTAAATCAAAACAGCAATTGTTTTGAATTCTTAATGCAGATGTCAGATTTGATTGAATGATTAAATTCAAAGTATCAGATCATATTGATTTTGATGTTACCCAAGATATATTTAACTCAAGGATGATTTTAGAGGTTCTTATTTAGATCTATAAATATGCCATGCACCTGGACAAAGATTTTAGATAATCCGCCTATTTTGGATTCATTGTTAAATACAACTTCACTACAGTAGCATTGTTGTTCAGTCATAAGCATTTGGATGCAATTTGCTAGATTGTGTTTTTGAATATGTTTCTATATAAATTTGTTGGTCTGGGATATACGTTGAATCTGAATTACTTTATGGTGGTAGACTCATGAGAAGTAAGTGAGTGTCAATGTTACTCTGTACATTTGTTTTATTAAATTTCTGAATCCAAATTTATTTACGCATTGTTGATATATTATATTCTTTCAATTCCAGTTTGTGAGCAGGCATATGGTATGGCCCAAAATTTGGACCCAAACAGTGAAGGCAGAGGTGTACTTCAGTTCAAGACTGGATTGATGTCTTTAATTAAGGTACTATCATGTAAGCTTTGGTTGTTTTGTGATTTTCACATAGATTTTGAGTTGTGTTTATGCTTAATACATCTACGGTCCATATTTGTGCTATTGTTGTGTGTTGGTATGAGTTACATTTAGTACTTATCAGTTTAAGTTCCTACTCAGATATCACGCCATTGTAATTTGTCAATATATTGACTTCATTGGTGTTCTGCACCCCGGCCCTCCCATGTAACCTTAGTTTTACACCTTATAAAAAAAGTATGGTATTTTTGCCAAGTTGTTTTAATTCATTCCCATAATTCTATTTCTAATAATCTGTGTATGGTAATTTAATGTGCCATCAAAGTTACTTGTACTTTTTAGTTGCTTTTAAAATTTGTAAGGGGTCATATTTTGTACTTTCTTTTAAAGTACTTTCAGGTGTACAATTCCTGTGTCTAGTGTCTTTCTTCTTTTGGAATTGATGGTAAACCTTCTTATATTATATTCTCTAATATTCTTACCAGGGTAATTTGCTATTTGTCTTCCACTTATGTTAAAAGCAACGTGCTCTATCCTTGGTTCTTGTAAACTAATTATTGCCTATTCTGTTTGGGCTCTGATTAAATATGATTGCATCTGTATGTCTGTGCATAATGTATAATTTCAAATTTTAATAGAGTTTCATCAGTGATTCAAGTTTGATGTTGATATACGTTTTCTTCATCTCTAATCTAACAAATGCTCTACATATCTGAACCTGGTGTATTTTCTGATATTTACTTCTAAATTCTTAATTTTGGTTTGTTTTTCCTGCAGCAAAAACTTGCCAAAAGGGATGCTGGCCGAATAGACCGTAAATATGATATTGAACATTTTTGGGAGTTCTACCAGACCTATAAAAGGCGGCACCGAGTGGATGATATCCAAAGAGAAGAAAAAAGATTTCGGGAATCTGGAACCTTCTCTACTAGCTTGGGAGAGTATGGATATCTTATGCTACTCTATTGATTTCCTCGTGATTTAATTTCCTTGTGTGTGTATATGTTTCTAGCAATATTTAAATACTAGAATTGTTACATGATTCTCATTTTTCAAACCATTGGTCATGAATTAGAATATCTTTGGGGTAATTAATACTATTATTTGATTTATTTATCAGATTTGATGAATGATCTCAAAGTTCAGTCTATGCAAATTATCATCAATTAATATTTAAATGAGGTTTGAGGGAAGGTTTATAAACTCTGAAGTTGGTAATTCAACATTGGACATCAAATACTTACATCCTATTTAAATGTAGTATGGAAGCTCAGCTTCCACATTAAAGTTGGATTTAGATGTAACATCTATACGTCCATTAAATCTTCATCATGGCTAGTTTTCTGCCTTTTTGGTTGAATTTTTTTGTTTCATGATTTTTATTAATTTTAATTTCCTGTCGTGAAATCTCTAGTGCTTTAGGAATGAGGAAGGTCCTTGCTACTTTGAGGGCCTTAGTTGAGGTCATGGAGGCACTTAGTAAAGATGCAGATCCTGATGGAGTTGGAAGGCTTATTAATGAGGAGGTACATATGATCAACGACCACTGAATGTGGGCTTTAGTGAGCATCTTGGATATTTTCATTATTTGTCATTATGCCTCGCAACTATATTATTCATTTTCACATTGTACTTTTTACTTTATGCTTCTAAGACTCTCTGCATGCAGCTTATAGCATGTCCAATGGAAGTTCCTAGGCTATTTGATTTTTTGTTTATATGATGTTCACCATGAAACTTTACAAATAACATTGCTTTGTTCACCAAGAAACTTTACTAAACAAATTTATGTCTTAGAATAAGGCACATTCTATCTCTATTTGGTTGAAAAGTATATATTTTTTCTGTTTTTTCTCAGTTGCGAAGAGTTAAAAATGCTGATGCAGCTATATCTGGTGAACTCACGCCCTACAATATTGTCCCCTTAGAAGCGCCGTCATTCACAAATGTGATTGGAGTTTTCCCCGAAGTAAGTCTAATCTTTAATTAGTCAAGTTACATCCTTCCCTACAATGTTCGTTAGAACCTTATATTAAATTGGTTATTTAAAAGATTTATAGTTACAAATATGTTGTTGCTTTTGGTTATGGTTTGAACTATGTTTTACATTGAAATTTGACGTTTCCGGCATGTTCTATAGTCTACTGTGTGCTTTGTTTGGTTAAATCTGTGTGGCTCATAAAGTTTTCCTTATGCTAATTTTACCAGGTTAGAGGTGCAATATCTGCAATCAGATACACTGAAAATTTTCCTAGGCTTCCTTCAGATTTTGAGATTTCTGGACAACGGGATCCAGATATGTTTGATCTTCTGGAGTATGTGTTTGGTTTTCAGGTTTGTGACTTTTTTGTACTGAACAGTGAACACATCATGTATTTCGATGCAAATTGAAATGTGGGGGTAAAATTGCAATATGTGTAGAATTATTCTTACCATTTCTATTATTTTTATTTTCTCTGGGGCTCATTGGCATGTTATATATTGTTTTCACTTGTCTCTTTTGTGTAATCTTCCCTCCTCAAATGTGAATTTACTGTTTCATAGAAAATCTTGTTTATATGCTAATTTTCATGTTATTGTGAAACTCTCATGAACCATGAGTTGTAAATTTTTTTTGGACTATGTTATTCTTCATTTCCTGGGCTTTTTCTCAATTGTTTGGAAGCTTATTTCTGAATTCTGATTGCTATTGTGGAATTAGCTGGTGGGATGACCTTGGATATGACTGTTCATTTGTAGGCACTGTTAGGGCCACACATTTCTGAAGAGTAGGGAGAAGGCTAACATGATTATCTGTCTGATAATGTTATTACTTGATGCAATAATGCCGTGCATTTTTTCACATATGCTACTATATTTTATCCTTTTTACCTTGTACTTTAAGTGAACTATTCCTACTTATTATGTTCTTCTTTTGATACGAATTTCAACCTATTATATTTGTATGACAAATCATGGTGATGAAGTTGATACCTGAATCAGCTTTATGATTTATTGTTGGATTGGTAGAATGAGGTACAAACTTATTGCATCTTTTGTACAAGAACATTTATGTCCATTATAATCTGGACTGTTAAAGAAGTACTTAATTATTGAATCATTCATATTTATCTATGCAATGAGTTTAAGAAAGTTTTTAATATTTCTTTTATTCCACCATAGTCCATCACCCTCTTTCTATTTCTTCTTTGATAATTAGATTAAAATTTTTTTCCTACAGAAAGATAATGTAAGGAACCAGCGTGAGAATGTTGTTCTTACAATAGCAAATGCACAATCTCGACTTAGCATACCTGTCCAAGCTGATCCAGTAAGTTCTTTTGATAATCTATCTCATTATTTTATAGGTATCTTTTCGTTCCCCTTTTTCATTACCCTTTTTGTTTCAAAAGAATTATAGAGGCTTTTGATTCTGTGTTTTTCTTTTTCTGTTAGTCGTATCTCTTTTTCAAACATTAATTCGTGTAATCAGAATAGCATTGCCTTATTAGCACACTTCAAAAGGGTAGTTGCTGGATTCTTGAAGGGGAGTTCTCAATGTAACTGCCTTTGCTCTAAAACATCAAATTCTGTTTACATGTTATGCGGAAGGGGATGCTTAGCTTTTCAAATCCTTGAAAACTGAACCTTAACAGTTTGACTTTCTATGTAAATGGTTTTACTGCCTATTTATTGGAGATTGTTGAGCAGTTACGTGCAAGCATGCTAATTTTTATGCATTGCCAAGGTTTTCTTTGTTAATCTAGATAGCTAGATTTTTAGGATGGCTATTTCGCTTTTAAATTTATTACCGTTGATGTTTCTTTTTAATGAGTTATAGAATATGTTAAATCTTATTTTTGTGGGTTGAGTGCCTTTGAAGTACTTAAACTCACCCAGATTTATCAAAAGCATCTTAAACAAGGGATTGGATGAACTGGTTCAAATGGTATGTTGGGTTAGGTACCATTCTTAGTTTGGAACTACTAATCTTGTTTGATATTGTGCTCTTGCTTATTGTTTCTAGTTGGGCATCATTAATAACTTGGAGTTGGCTGATGAAATCCTTTTTGTATCAATTATGTTCCAATTTTTCCAGAAAATTGATGAGAAAGCAATCAATGATGTATTCTTGAAAGTGCTGGATAACTACATCAAATGGTGCAAATACTTGCGGATACGGCTGGCTTGGAATAGGTTGCTGCTGCAACCTTGAAACAGTTCAATTTTTTGTGTCCTGATGCACTGAAGTACTTTTTAATTTGTTTTACTAGATTGAATCTAAATTTTGTGTCTGGCAGTTTGGAAGCAATTAATAGGGACAGGAAGCTGTTTTTGGTTTCATTGTACTTTCTCATATGGGGTGAAGCTGCAAATGTCCGTTTTCTTCCTGAGTGTATTTGCTATATATTCCACCATGTGAGTTTGTTCTCTCCTTTTTTGGGTCAAATTTTCACTTCATTGATGCTATTTATTCTTCACCATCTATTATGTGCTCTGATCGGCCATAATACAGGAAAAAGATTTTATCTCTGCATGATAAACTTATGTTGTCATTTTATTAAGGAAGTTTTAATTTGATATGCAGCTATTTATACTATTGTTTGTAACTGTACTAAATTGCTGTTTCCATTGTGGGATCTGGAGTGGAACATCTCATGCATCTGTTTGTGATTCCATCTACTTTCTGAATATTGTGTGGATTTGAATTTCAGTTTGAAAAAGCTAGAAGAATGCTTTGCTTTCTCTCTCAGTTCAAATGATATTAGAGAAAGCGAAGAGAGTTTGCGAAAATTTTTGAAGTAAATATTTATTTTTTATTCAATTTTACTTTCTGGTTGCTTTTGTGGTAATGTTATTATTTTGGTTTTCCAGATGGCAAAAGATTTGGATGCAGTAATAGATCATGGAGAAGCTAATCCTTCTCCAAGCTGCAAAACCGACAATTCTGTGTCCTTCCTTGAGCAAATCATATGTCCTATATATGATACAATGGCAGCGGTCAGTTCTTTCTGTACTTCATATCCATCCCCTTTTCTTTAGTGGTCATATTCATGTTTGTGGTGCATAACTACTAGCCTGATAATGATAGTTGTCTTTAGTGCTTCTATTGAGATTTGCCTACTCTCTGATTTGCCTATGCTCTTTCCTTTTTGCTATTTTGTTTTTCAATTATGTGGATGTTTGTGTGTGTATTTTGCGTCTTTTATTTTGGAATCAGTGCTGTCCATTTCCATGGATCATTCTAGGATTTTTGCTTGATTAGAATGATTAACATGATAAGGTTAATCTTAACACTAATCCTGATAACAGTCTGATTTTTCTTATGATATATATGCTCTAAATGTTCTTGGCAATTGTTGTCAATATGATTTTATTGTTAGTTGTTCAGGAGGCTGCTAGAAACAATAATGGGAAGGCTGCACATTCATCATGGCGTAATTATGATGATTTCAATGAATACTTTTGGTTTGTTATTATGTCTCTTTAAGGATATTGATTTCTATGAAGTTTGGCACATTTATGTGCAGTTTTATAATTCTTTTCTCATCCATAATTTATATATATAGGTCACCTGCTTGCTTTGAATTGAGCTGGCCTATGAGGAGGGATTCACCATTTCTGTTGCAGCCTATAAAGGGGAAAAGGGGGAAAAGGGTAAGTTCTGCTGATGGTTTCTGACCAAAACTTCCCCATATTTGTTTTGTTCTTTTAAACCTCTTATTTTCCTTTAAATCTTTTGTTGGTCAACCTACTGGGATTTTAAATCTTAAATGCTTATGGATCAAAATGAACCAAGAGATTTTGAGAGACTTGGAGATGAGTTATATGGAAATTATAGTTGTATTTCTGGCTTACAAGTTTAAGCGGCTTAGTAATATTACTTAGTGTATGGTTCTGAATGGAGTATAATCGTGAAATATGATCAATGTAGCATACCCCATCTAGTAAGGAAAGGCGTTGTTTGTTGTTTGCTATTCATATGAATGGTCAAATATCTGTATTGAGTTTATGTATTAAGTGGACAGATTTGTGAAAGTTGTTGTTCTCTTCATATTGAATTATTAAATTCAACTTTCTTAATTATGTCAGTTGGTTTTTAGTAAGGGATGCAAATCTTTTTGTTGTAGTTATTCTGATAATCCTTAGCATGTAATCTTTTCTGCTTCTGCTGCTGCTTTACTAATTTATTATGGATGTCTTATTACCATCCTTTATTGTGAATACCGACTCATACACTTTTGCCTGTTATTCTATTTTGGTGTTGGATCCCCTCCCCTTGCAAACAAAAGGTGAAGAAAAAAATTGCCAGAAACACTTTTTTATTTTCTGATCTTAAGGGTTTTTTATTTACTGGATTATTATTTCATTTGGCAGTTTTTTTTCCCTTTACCTTCTTATATGAAATAGGCAATAAAAGAATATTGGTTACATAAATGCTCTTTAATGGCTCTATAAATCTTGCTTGCTGAATGGTATATGTTTATGTTTTTTTCCTTTTTACATTGTTTTTGGTGAGTTATCAGACTAAATTTACTTTATATATATATATATATATATCTATTCATTGTACATGTGGTTCATTCTAATATATGGTGAACAATGCATATTTTATCAATTTAGATACAATTGCAATCAGATAGTTAATATGCTTTTATTACCAATAACTATTTAAAGAGATATTTATATCATTGTTTCATCTATTTATCTCTTTATATCATTGTTTATCTTTCTTTGATTTTACAGACTGGTAAAAGCACCTTTGTAGAGCATCGAACATTCCTTCACTTGTATCGAAGTTTCCATCGTCTTTGGATCTTTCTGGTTTTGATGTTCCAGGTAGGTTTTCTGTGTCCATATATCACTTCTTATTGATGTTGCATGTAGTTTGTTCATCTTTGAGTAAAAAATTTTATTGATTGTGTATTGACTGCAGGCATTGACAATTATAGCATTCAGAAGAGGGCGCATTAATTTGGATACCTTTAAGATATTACTTAGTATTGGACCAACGTTTGCTATTATGAACTTCATAGAGAGTAAGTTGTCGGCTTTATTGTTGTGCATCTGCAATTATTACTTTAATATCTCTTGTATACATATATATTTCTATTTTCTTTTAATTTGGATTGTGCGTGACCTGCTTATGTTTGGGCTTAACAATGTGTACATTTGGTTATTTTTCTGCTGAGTTAGGTTGTTTAGATGTCCTGCTTATGTTCGGGGCTTACACCACTGCAAGAGGCATGGCCATTTCCAGGCTGGTTATACGATTTTTTTGGTGTGGCTTGACCTCTGTATTTGTAGCCTATGTTTATGTGTAAGTCTCTGGTATTCTTTCTTATGATTGAAATGATGTTGTTGAGAGTTATCAGTTATATGTTCGTGTCCTATTCATATCTTCTTTTATATGTATACATGCAGGAAGGTTTTAGAGGAAAGAAATGATCAGAACTCCAATTCGTTCTATTTTCGGATATATATACTTGTATTGGGTGTTTACTTTGCCTTGCGTGTAATCCTTGGCTTGTTACTGAAGTTTCCTGCATGTCATACCTTGTCTGAAATGTCAGATCAATCATTTTTCCAGTTTTTTAAATGGATTTATCAGGTTTGTTCACTTTTTCTTAGCTACTTGAGATGACCAGTTGGTTTTGGAATGGATGTATTAGTAATTTTCGTACAATAATTTGCACATTTCAGGAGCGATATTATGTTGGGCGTGGTCTTTATGAGAGGATGACTGACTATATCAGGTTTATTTTTATGCTTTATTGAATTTGGAATTTAATACTTAATGTGATCGTTTGACATGTTTACTCTGTTGATTTTATCTATTAAATTGTTGGGTTGAAGCTTTTATCCAGATTCTTTTCTTAATTTTTCAGTAGAGTTTTACTTTTTTTTTTCTGCGGGTCCTCTGAGGCTCTAATATCTAATTTATCATCACTTTGGCTAAAAATGATGCAATGATTTTGTTTGCCCTGTTCAGTTGCAGTTCTTTCTTATATTCATAACCATATACTCATAGATGTTCTTAATAAATTGTTGGTCAACAATTTTTTCTTTAATCTATATATATATATTTTTGCAATGTATGATGTTGGTCGTGTTTATTTGTCATTGTTTATCTTGCTTTGATGAAATAAAGAAGGCCTCTAATAATTATCTGTGCAAGTGCTTTCTACCCTCTTAATTTGGTTCTTCATTGCTGCAGATATGTCCTATTCTGGTTGGTCATATTTCTTTGTAAATTCACATTTGCTTACTTTCTCCAGGCAAGCCATCAAGTCGCTATCTCACCTTCTTTTGCTATAGAGTTTGTGATGGTAGACGCCTTTCATTCTGTAGATTGAATATCTGACACCATTTATGTTTGATCTTTACTGAATTACAGATTAGACCACTTGTCTCACCTACGAATACCATTCTCAATCTTCCAAATTTGGTATACTCTTGGCATGATTTTTTCTCAAAGAGTATGTTCACCATCCATTTGTATTTTTTTGGTGGCCTGGTTTCCTAAAGCAACAACTTTAGATTGGTTGATTTGTATTTCTCATTGTCTTGTAGTAGGTAAAAGTTATGGTATTACAGGGTCAGGAAGATGAAAATTAAATTATCTCGCCAACTTAATTGCCCAATTGTATAAATGGGAGAGTCAAAATTGGTGAACAAGGGTTAAATTTCATGGCAATTGAGATTGAGAATGTTAATTTTTTTGTCCAGCTAGTATTGAAATGGAAAAATTGACTATATCCCTCAAAATTTTAGCTTAGATTTGGTCCCAGCTACTGTGAAAAGATAAAATTTCCATTTAATGTCCTCAAGCTGTGTGTCTCATACATTCAACCTTTATATTTGGAGTAGGTGCATGTTGCGGTCTGAGTTTGTTACTTCTGTTGTACATGAGAATGCTAAAGAAATGTTTTAGTTGAAAGTTTAGAAGTTTGGAGTTGAAGGGTTTGGCTTCCTCTGTTACTTTCCAAAATACTTATCAATCATCATCACTTTTCATATTGTGGGTCTTAGTAATGTTAATTGATGATCAACGTATTGGACAAAAAGGTAACGGAGGGGATCCCAGCACAGAATTGAGAAATATAGGGTGCCAATGAAAGGAATATGAATATTGCTTGTCTTTTGGGCAATTAGTTTCTTTTGTGCTTATGTTGATTTTTGCCCATCCAAAAGCTTTTTATTATATGTTTGGATCATAACTTATCTAGGTATGGCCGCATGGTGACATAGTCTTAGTATATTTTATGGTACCCTATGTTCTCCTTGACCATTCAGGTTATATGTCAAATTCATATATTGGTTCTTCTATGATTGTTTATTCTATTTAAAGTTCAAGCTACTCCTCATGTTTCATTGAAGTGTCCCTCGTTCAAGTTAAAATTTATATGAATTATTAATCCATTCTTGTAATATTTTTCCACAGATAATCACAATGCCTTGACTATTGCTAGCCTGTGGGCTCCTGTTATCGCTGTGAGTGCATATCTGTTTTAAACTTATGCACCTGCCATTTGAACTTGGCATTAGCTTTCTGACTAAGTTCATTCTATACATAAGCCTAATTGAATGTGGAAAATTGTTGAAAACAAGTAGGTCAATGGTTCATCTCAAATGCTTTGTTCTATGGCCTGTGCCTGAGTTTTCTTGCTTGTCCCAGTAAATGGGCTTTCTCCTATTTCAGCTGATTATTGTCAAAAATCCTTACTTATGAAAAAGTTTTGATGAATATATGTGTTTAACTTGTCAACCATATTTTTTTCTCCCCCTTTTCCCAGATTTATGTCATGGACATTCATATATGGTACACTGTATTGTCGGCAATTATTGGTGGTGTAATGGGGGCAAGGGCTCGGTTAGGCGAGGTATTACAATGGCAATTTCTCTGTTCTTAAGAATATTCCAAAGTCTTTCTCCTTTCTTATGATTCCTTCTATTGCTAAATGTTTGCTTTTATCAAAGATACGGTCAACTGAAATGGTGCATAAACGTTTTGAGAGCTTCCCAGAAGCCTTTGCCAAGAACCTTGTTTACCAAGAAACCAGGAGGTAATTGTTTTCATCTTGGCAATTTTAAATATAAGGCTTTGGGACAAATGTAGGAATGCCAGATTTGATGACCCTTTTATTAAGTCTCATCAGTCATCCCTTTTGAATATTCTGTTGCTTGTTTTTCTTTCATTTTTCTTCCTTAAATATTTTTTCCGAGATAGATATTGATATTTATTGATACTAATTTCCTGTGACAAATATGTATAGACTATAGAGATATGAATCTCTATTATTTTTATTGCAATTTTATAGACTATGGATGGACACAGAAAAGTAGGCAGCAGAAGTCATATTGGCTTGTTCAAAAACAGAATGGGGAATAGACATAATGATATATGAAATATTGCAGAATTATGTGGGTTAGGTCTTTCCTGGCCTTAATGGATTTTGAGACTACTTGCCCAAGTTAATCAACCGGAATTTACTTGCTAAGAAATGAAGGGACGTAAAATAAAAAAGGAAAAAAGGGCACTAACTTGAATTTATACTATCTCTCTCTTCTTAACCTCTTCTCTTTGTCACTCTTGCTTGTTAACTTGGTCCTCATCTGGCATGGCTGCAAAATTACTAATATAGATGATAGATGTCATCTCTAGGCTTCCAGCCTCCAGGCACCACCCCTCCGCTGCCCGCCCCCCCCCCAAAAAAAAAAAAGAACTAGTATTTATTACACTCTGGAGTGCTTAACTAACTTCTTAATTGACAATGAGAGAATGTTTTCTGACTATGTTCGATTTCAAATGTTTTTGTGTGTTATATTTGTGTTTTTCCTCGTAAATATCCTTTAACCACCCCCCCCTTCTTTTTTTTTTTTTTCCTGTTTTTGCTCTTGCAGGATGCCATTTGACAGACAAGCACCTGAGGTGGGTGATGTATTCACATTTCTTCACGTCTAGTTCTAATTATCTAAAACTCATTAATGTGATTGTATCTTTGCAAATTTTTAGAGTGGGCAGAATTTTAATTGTTAGACTGCCTTTATGTGCAAGTAAATCTTTTAAGTTGAGTTAAGGATGGTTGACCCATGAATGATAACTTAGAACAAATTAATTGGTCCAAGGCTTTGTAACTTTTGTGTTGTTTAATCCATGTAAAACATTCAAAGATATTTTCACTCCATAAGCTCTCAATATTGTGAATTTGCTTATCTTGCATACTTCATTTTAACCTTCATTGGAGCTGGACAATCACTTGCTAACCAAGACCTCCTCATCTCTGGCCAACACAAAAAATTCTTGAATTTATCTTTTGATTGTCCATCCCTTCACCTGAAAATCTTGCTTAAGTGAAGTGTGGCACCAGCCTTTTCTTTACACTTCCAGTCAACTATGAGTTTCTACAGTTCTTAGGTGTTCAAGTGATTTGTTTGTCTTCACATGCTTGAAAGATGGTGGTTTTTCACAATAAATCAACCAAAAATATTCTTGCTTGTTCACACTGTCTATTGCGATTTTTTTTAAAGTAATTTTGACTGCTATACTATTACTTCTTAGGGTTTTGCTGTTTAAAAGTGCTACTCCCTTTTTATAATTGATTTTTTTTATGAGCATGTATAATTATTGTTGGCTTTGTGCTTTTCTGTTGAGCAGGTTTCTCAGGAAACGAACAAGACATATGCAGCTCTATTTTCTCCATTTTGGAATGAGATAATCAAGGGCTTGCGTGAAGAAGACTATATCAGCAACAGGTAAAGTACTAAGTCAGGCTTTATTATTATCGTGGTGCTAATGATCCTTTTGAGATTGGTGCTCATGATCACCCCACAACTTTTTATATTTCAAGGGAGAAGGACTTGCTTTTAATTCCCAGCAACAGAGGAAGTCTAAGATTAGTTCAGTGGCCTTTGTTTCTTCTTAGCAGTAAGGTGGGGCCTGTTAAATTTTGCTGAATCAAATAATTCCTGAAAGACTTTGGTTTTATACTAATTTCTATCATGTTCATGGTCAACCAATTTTCAGATCTTACTGGCCATTGATCTGGCTATTGACTGCAAAGATACACAGGCTGATCTTTGGAATAGAATATGCAAGGATGAATATATGGAATACGCGGTTCAGGAGTTCTACTACAGTATTGAAAAAATTTTACATTCTCTGGTTGATGGTGAAGGTAGACTCTGGTATGTGTTTGTAGGTCCATGTTTCCTTTTATATATCTTATCTTATAAGTTATTATCATTAAGAGATCACCCACAATTACTTAAGCTTGCCCTTTACCTGCATGCTTGTTTGTGATAGGGTTGAAAGAATTTACCGTGAGATCAATAACAGTATATCAGAGGGTTCACTTGTCATAACCTTGAATCTGGGGAAGCTTCCTGTGGTTCTTCAAAAATTGACTGCATTGCTTGGGCTGGTAATATTAAAAATTATTTTGTTCCAATCACTGCTGCTAAAATTTATGGTACAATTTATAAGGCATCTTTGTTTCTTCTGCTTTTTTATTCTTTTAGTTTTCCCCTTTTTCTTTATTTTTGATTACCACCATTGAAGTGGTATTTTGGTTTATTGTTTTTTATTTTTGAAATTCTATGAATAGACTTGCAGTTTTCTTGGTATTGCAGCATAATTTGTTTGATTGCTCTTTTACTTTATCTATTGATATACCAGTCACAGGGCAATATTATAATGTTGATGACTCTTCATAATCATAATCAGATATTGTGCATAATCAATTGATTTTCAATGTGCTTGGTACTATCATGTTGTGAAGTCTGTAAAGATGAACATCATGCTCTTTTTTTAGCTTAACATATTCTGATGATATGCCATTTTATTTAGCTAAGAAATGAAAAACCTGAAGAAAAAGGTGCCGCGAATGCTGTGTATCAACTATATGAGGTTGTCACACATGATCTGTTATCACCTGATTTGAGGTATAAATTGTCTGATTACACAAGTTTTTGATAGTATACATAAAGTAATGGTTCAATTATAGCTTCGTTTTTTAAACTTTTGGCTTTTGCTGTGATATATCAGGGAGCAGCTTGATACATGGAACATTTTGGCAAGAGCAAGAAATGAAGGTCGTCTGTTTTCTAGAATAGAATGGCCCAAGGATCCAGAAATTGTAAGCTTTCTTCAAATTTGATACTGCTACTCTCCACCTTTTTCTATCTTATACTTGTTGCATTCCTTAACTTGTCCATGGTTTCCTTTACAGCGGGAGCAGGTGAAGAGACTGTATCTTCTTCTCACTGTGAAGGAGTCTGCAGCTAACATTCCTAAGAATCTGGAAGCAAGGAGAAGATTAGAGTTTTTCACTAATTCATTATTTATGGATATGCCTTTAGCAAGGCCAGTTTGTGAAATGATCCCGTTTAGGTTTGTAGATACTAATTGTTAGAAAAATGCCATTTAATTCTGCAGGATTATCTATCCATTGAACTAATTAATTATTTATTTGTTGATTGAGAATAGTGTCTTCACCCCATACTACAGTGAGACTGTGCTTTATAGCTCCAAAGATTTGCGGGAGGAAAATGAGGATGGAATATCAACTCTTTTCTATCTTCAGAAAATCTTTCCAGGTATATTTCATTTCATCATCATCTTAAAAGGGGTTATCTCTTCCTCTATCATAATCTGTTGCTTGTCAATATTTGAATGTTTAAGTCAGACTCCTTTCACTTCCACCCCCTTTTATTGTTTTGCGAATGAATTTTCAACTGGTTCTACTACATCACGTTGTCAAATTTTGAATGTTTAAAATAAGTCAGACTCCTTCCACTTCCATCCCTCTTTTATTGTTTTGGGAAATGAATTTTCAACTATTTTTCCTGCATCACCAAAGAACATACATTTCTTTTAAAAAATTTCCTGTTGCATGTCACATTTGTTGCTATAGATGTTTTTCAGAATTTCAATTCCATGTCATGTGACTTATATGGTTCCTTTGTTACATATTGAACTGTTAATGAGTATGTCCTGGTATCAGTATGGCTGACATAATGGGACTCGGTGACTGGTTGAGAGAAACATTTTGGAATGTATGGTACGAGTGATGGTTATCATATTATTGATGTTGAATACCTAAAACTCTTGATTTTGTTGCCTTCTTATGGGCTCTATCTTAACTGTGTTTTGGATTAAGGGGAGCGGGGAAAGGAATGGAAACACCCTTTCCTTTTCCTTATTTGGTTATGCTTCATAAAAGGAAGCAATACAATTGTTACTCCCTTTGTCTCAAGACCTCATTTTTCTTGTTCCCCCTGATTGGGGGAAGGGTGCCAAATTTTTGATGTGAATGGCATTTATACTCTTATTCATTCACTCCTTTCTAAATACTTTATGCACTAAAAGGGCATGGTTGTAAGAGTATGAGTTTATGTATTCTTAATTTCATTTCCTCGCCTTTTCTAGACATAACATATCATTTTCATTTCATTTCTTTTCCTTCCTCTTCTTACCTTATCTGAACAAGACTATCTCAAATCCTTTCCTTTTCTTTAAAATCGCTCCATTTCCTGTACTCATCCCTATATGAACATGGGGTTAGCTTCTTGTTTTCTGGTTATATAAGTTGGAAATTATTACAGTGATCAAGGCATTTTGGCAAAACTATGATGTTACCTATCTAATGGTTCATTTTGGTCGGTTGCTTGATGCCACACATGAAGGGCTTTATCTCTTATTTTGAATGTGTTTCAAATAAATACAAAGGTCTTTATTTGCATCCAAACAGACTGTTGAATGGTACTCCATATCTTTCTCAATTTCCAGTCTAGTTTCTTAGCAAGCCATGTTGGATGGAATTATTTGCAAGAATATATTTTGTTATGTTGTATAAGATAGGAATATAATTTTTTTAATGAACTTTAAAGATCACCATGCATAATCATTGTGGTCTGATGAACTTATTTTCTAAGATAGATGATTCTCTGCACTTGAAATTTTTGGAGAAAAGTTTGTGATTTGATATTAATTTTGACAGCAAATAGTAAGAAAGTCTATTAAAAAATTGGAAAAACATTTAAAAATTGAAATTCCTTGCACTGTTACGGGAATCATAGTTGGATTTTGAGAAGCAAATTGTTTCCTGAGTGACAATGCAGCCAGGGGCTGAGTGGGGCCATAAATAAGGGAGCATTTTAATCCCTCCCTCTAACATGCCTCATTGCTCTCCCTGGCTGTGGTTCTAGTTATAGTTGTGGAGTTATGAGGTTTTCTTGCTACACATCTTTTGCCTGTAGTTGAGGGCTTATTTTATATTTGGTGATGTCTTTATATGATAACTGCCTGTCTCCTTTTGACTTTAGATGAATGGGAGAATTATTTAGAGCGGGTTAATGAAGGAAAGTCTATCGGGAATGCTGAAGATCAACAAAGTAAGAGTGAATTGGAGCTTCGGTTTTGGGCATCGTATCGAGGGCAGACTCTAGCTAGGACTGGTTAGCCTGCATTTCTTTCTTATGAAATGCCTTACGAATTTTCTTAGATCTCTAGTTTTCTGATATGTGAGATTGTCAGAAGGCTGTTTGATTTTTTAATATAATATCTATCTTATAATGTTGAGTGACATTGAAATGCAGTTCGTGGTATGATGTATTATAGAAGGGCATTAATGCTGCAAAGTTACCTAGAAAGTAGATCTTTGGGAGGTATTCTCTTCAAACCTTTTATGATGACCTGTACTATTTAAGGGTAAGGCATGGATATGCTCATACCATTTCATCTTGTTTAATAGTGGATGAATATTCTCAAACTGAGTCCCTGACAACTGAAGGCTTTGAATTGTCTCGTGAAGCTCGAGCACAAGCAGATATAAAGTTCACTTATGTTGTTTCATGTCAAATTTATGGTCAACAAAAGCAGAACAAAAAGGCCGAGGCTGTTGATATTGCTCTTTTGTTGCAGAGGTATCAATGTCTTATAATATATTTAGTTCAATCTTCGGGAACCTTGTTAACTTTGTTAGTTGGAAACAGAATTATAGTTCCTAATTTAAATTAATATAAGGTTGATTCTGGTGCCCACCTATCTGCAACTAAAATTCAGTTGGCAATTAGCAAACCATGTTAGGTTCTTTCAAGCTTGGGTGCAAAATGTGAGGCTTGCTTGTCTTTCAGATATTAAAAGAGATGTGTTGCTGTTAGTATTACTATAATGCCATTTCTTAAATACCTTATTGTCTTCATTCTATTAGTAAATTCTTTGCTCCTGTTTGCATGGATATTGAATTGTATAATGTACTCACGATCCTTGATTAATTGTGCCATGTTATGGCTTTTATGACATTGGTTTTTTTTTTTTTTTTATTAATTAGGAATGAAGCATTTTTCTGTCTGCCTGGATATTAACATGTTTAATGTACTCATGATCCTTGATTAATTGTACCATGTTATGGCCCTTATGACATTGGTATTTTGGTTTTTTTTTTTATTAGGAATGAAGCCCTTCGTGTTGCTTTCATACATATGGAGGAGAATGTTGAACCTGAAGGGAAAAGGGAATTTTATTCAAAGCTTGTCAAAGCTGATATAAATGGAAAAGATCAGGTTCGACTATGACTTCTTTTGGTTTGTATTTGTTCAAAATCGTTATTATGTGGCATGGATTGATGGTTACACACACTTCTAAGTGAATATTTAGAGACAAAATAGTGGATAACCTGATTGAATGGGGGAGATGAAAGTATTTCAAGGTGCAATATCTGTGTATGGTTGATGTCCTTTTGCTCTAACTTTTAATGATGTGGATTATTCATTCATTATTTGCACATCAGCAGACTTAAAATAAATCCTTTATTCGAATTCTAATTTCAAATGATGGTGGAAAGACATTAAGCATGGTGCAAATGCAACAATATTCTTTCTTAATGTGTTGAGGATATTCAAAATAGCCATTTGTTAGGATGGGAGCTTGTTTCATTCTTTTTTTTTTTTAGCCCCTGAAAGGTTGCCTTTGTGCTTTGTCATGTCTTGGCCTTAGAAGTCAGTGGGCTATTTCTCTTATCTTCATTTAAATTTGACATTGTATATGCGTGTTGAAAACTTGAGTCTGTTTCAACTTTATTGTGTTACTTTGCTAATGATGGCTTTTATCCTTGTAATGAATGGGCATGATGGTTTCCTTTTTTCTCAGTGCTCTTTTGTTTTGTGAATGTTTCTGCACTTTTTACACCTTTATGTGTTGAACTGCTTCTGCCATAGAGTTGATACACATGTGAGAATAATAAACTTTCTTAATATATTGTGTTTTATTTTCCCCGCACTAGCAACTATAGGTTGTTTCACGAGGTCTTTGTTGTGCCTATTCTAGGAGTTATGGTGGATATACTTTCTTGGATTTAATCCTCCTGCCAGTTTATTGCTATAAATTTGGTTGCTGGTGCTTATAGTATGCTTTTTTTATTTTTCTATTAATTGTCCAATTTTTTAGGTGTCTGTTTTCTATCCTTAAATTTTATTGAGATTTTTTCTTCATTGCCTCTTGTAGCTTTGGTAAATGAACTAGCTCACCTCCTTGTTTTATTTATTCAGGAAGTATATTCAATTAAACTTCCTGGAGATCCAAAGCTTGGAGAAGGGAAACCTGAAAACCAGAACCATGCTATAATTTTCACACGCGGGGAAGCTATTCAAACTATTGACATGAATCAGGTAATTTAATATTATATGCATTGTTCCAAGTCCCAGATTTTATTTGTAATTAAAAAGATATAATGTAATAATTCATATTTGTGTGTCACCTTGGAAGCTGTCTTATATGCTTTTTTCTGTTTTATATTATTGGTTTTCAGTGTGATTTTAGTTCAAAAAACAAGAAGTTTTCTATAGTTCTGTTATATCTAGTGAGGACTAATTCTACTTCTTCATTATTTTTCTATATATTTTTAATATGATAAGATATGTCAAAAAAGAGGCACAAATGAATGGTGACGAGGTCTTTTGGTTGCTGAATTGTTAAGGCCTGCTGACATGACTGGTCCATTTTACTAGCTTGATTGAGATTTTTGGTTAATTGATTAGTATGCATTATTGTAGAATTTGCACCCTTGTCTGTTATTTTGGTTGTTCACGATTATCAATGCTCAGTGATGGCTAGGAATGTTGGATTCTAATATGAAACACTGCTGTAACTTTTAGATTGTGGGAGTGCTGTTAGATTTGACTCTACATGCGTAAAATAAACCTTGTAAAAAACTTCGTTTTATTTGAGGTGCTTCTTGATGATATAGTCATATGTGGCCCAGAGAAGTATGAACGCAACACAAATTTTTCTCTAAATGTGATACTATATTGTGCTCCATATGGTTGGTTTGATTCCCATGGCTACCTTGTAGAATTAGGATCTTGGAATTTTTCTGGTGGCATCAGGAACATGCTTTATTCTTGTACATGTTTATATTACATGGAAGCTATGCTGATAAGCTACTGGCTATTATTAATGTAAGGCTGTGGCTGAGTTAAGACAACTTCTGGATTTCTATTTTTATTGGATGTCTAGCTTTTCAGATATCTATGTCATGGTTTCATTACTTGTTTCTAGCATGCATCAGTCCTTCCTATTAGGTGTTGCATTTAATGGATACCTTGTAACACTTGGTTTTCATGTTGCTTTTACGCAAGTGTTATATATCCATCTTGTGGCAATGTTGAATGATTTAGAAATAATATTTTGCTGACCTGCCCTTGTCTTGTTCTGTAGGACAACTACCTTGAGGAGGCAATGAAAATGAGAAATCTTCTTGAGGAATTTCGAGGAAATCATGGCATTCGACGTCCAACCATTCTTGGCGTTAGAGAGCATGTTTTTACCGGAAGGTTTGTGTTGCCTTTTCGTTGAAATGATCATCCTGTAGTTTTATTTCTTTGTTTATCATCCTAATGCATCATGGGTGTGGATGTGTACATGCAGTGTCTCATCTCTAGCATGGTTCATGTCTAATCAGGAGACTAGCTTTGTCACTTTGGGCCAGCGTGTGTTAGCAAGTCCTCTCAAGTGAGTGTATTTACTGCAAAAGGCTATCCTGATTATGTTTATATTTCTTTCTTGACCTTGTCAATTGTATTTATTTACCAAAACACACTGCAAGTATAAAAAAGAATCGTGTTGACACTAAACAGTGAATTTATTGTTAAAATGTCTTGTTGCTTAGCAGGGATTTGAGTTCTCAAGAGTATTTTTCTTATATTTTATAGTCAATGAAACCCTCTTTGCTAGCTAGAATTTAGTTTAAATGTTTTTTGTTTCCTCCACTGTGTTCTCACTATCTATAGGCTTTACTTTTAGACGGTATTTTTATATTAGCTGCAAGTGTAGAGTGTTTAATATCAAGAGAGTAGATGACACTGGAGAGCTTAAAAGAATAACTGCCAAGGAGTGAAATTCTGCACTGATATGTGGTATATGCTGCTTCTTTTATCTGGTAATAGAAGAAGTAAACATTCACTGTTAGAATTTTTTAAAATATGCGATATCTAGTTTTACTGATTTTTTACCGATTTGTTATTTGTTTGTTCCCCTTTTTTGATTTGGAATTGAGAAAATATACTCATTGTCACCCAGATATATGGTCTTTGTGTCTCGCCTAGAGTTTAGCTTTTTTTTTTTTTAATCTGGTCTTCTTTATTTTGATATTCTTCAAGGAAATAGTATCTTACACGGTTTATTCCGTCTTCATATTGTTCTTCTTCGAGCAAAAGTGTCTTTTACATTTGTTTATATTATTACTTCAAAATTTGAGTGTGATATCTTAGTTGATTGCTGGGGCAGAGGGTTTTATTGTGGTTGTAAGAAATTTTTAGTTTCTGTTGATTTATTGAGCTTTCTTATGAAGCATTATGCTATGATATCTAGCTTGTTTGCCAGCCTGTCCTTATCTGCTGTCCTTATAAGGGATTTTGTAGTGCTTTACTTACGTACATTTTCATGTGGAAAAAAAATGCAGAGTTCGTATGCATTATGGGCATCCTGACGTATTTGATCGAATTTTTCATATAACTAGAGGAGGGATTAGTAAGGCATCACGTGTTATCAATATTAGTGAAGACATATATGCAGGTAAACTTTGAGGATGGAAATTTTTGGTTTCTGTTTTTAAAGTGTATTGTTTTTCTCAACTCAGCTACATGAGCTGGTTTCTTTTTGCAATTAGTTTTGAAGGCCAAGCTGACCTGATACTTCTGTATGTATAGAAGTACACACCTAAAACCATCTGAAAAAGGCATTATAGGAACTTAGAGAAGATTCTTGTAATTAATTGGAAATCAAAGTATGTGATTCCATTCCCTGTTGCCAGTAACTGGTACTGGATGTAGACCATCCCTATATTTCCTTTCTATTTCTGTCAGAATTTTCTCTTCAGGTGTTTGAGAATTAACCACTGTAACTGGAGTCATGCAAGCTAATCATACAATAAAAACCTAGTTTTTGTAACTATTAAGTATGAAATGAAAGTTCTTAGACCTGCATTCTTAATGAGATAAAATTTATCACAGGGTTCAACTCCACGTTGAGGCAGGGTAACATCACCCACCATGAATACATTCAGGTTTGCTTTTCTTTTCTTTTCTTTATCTTTTATTTTTTTCCGGGGGGCTAGTCATCATATTTGTCTCTTGGACCCATCTTTATCTATTTTCTTGAGATTCTGCTTTTCACGGCAGGTTGGTAAGGGAAGAGATGTTGGATTGAACCAGATTGCTTTGTTTGAGGGGAAAGTTGCTGGAGGAAATGGAGAGCAAGTCCTAAGTAGGGATGTATACCGACTTGGACAACTTTTTGATTTCTTTAGAATGCTATCATTCTACTTCACAACCGTTGGTTATTATGTCTGCACAATGGTATGACTACTCGTGATATTTTCTGCATGTCATTCTAAATTTGGATTATGTTGCCAGTCTTCAGATTTGTCTGATATTAATTTTCATTATCGCAGATGACTGTCCTGACAGTTTATATATTCTTATATGGAAGAGTTTATCTGGTAAACAAATTTTTTCTTTTCCCTTTCAGTTCTTTTAATATATATCATTTATTTCTCTTTTAACTTTTTCTTCTGAAAGAAAGCAAATTAGTTAATTAGTAATTAAGATGAGACTGTTCATTGAGTTTCTTTTAATCTTCTATGTCATGAAAATTTTAAAAATAAATAAAAGCTTGGTGGCCAATTAATTCCATTTTAATGCATTTATTTGAAAATGAAATTTTGGCTAGGTTCATAAAAAACTATCCCATTGAAGGGCATTATGTCAATTTCTTGAAAACCTCGGTTGTATTGCATCTACTTGGTGCTCTTGCATCCATTTTTAACTTTCTGGAGATCCATGGGACATTGTATAATATTTTATCCAACGAAAGCCACCATACAGGATCAAAAAATAATATCCATAAGTGCGGAAACGTATGTTTTTGAATTGAAATGAGTGTACTTGAACATGTTTAAGCATGTATGTAACCTTTTTTCTTCATTTTTATCTCCTTTTATTTTGCCAGCTACTGCTTCATATAAATTTGTTTGTAACTTTATTTGGGCATAGTATTTTAGTACAAGGCCACATCAATAGAGGCGTGAGTTTGTCTTTCAACTATAACTTGGGCTTAATTTGTTGTTTACATGATACTGATCCAGCTTTTCCTGTGAGTAACAATAATTTTGTCAACTTGTTACGAATTCAATCAGGCTTTCTCTGGACTTGACGAGGCAATTGCTAGACAAGCAAGAATATCTGGTAATACAGCATTGGATGCAGCTCTGAATGCCCAATTCTTGGTCCAGATTGGAGTATTTACTGCAGTCCCTATGATAATGGGTTTTATACTTGAATTGGGATTGCTGAAGGTTTGTCATTCTGATTTTCATTAGTATCATAATATTCTTTTGTTCTGTAAATTACAAAGTTTGATTGGCTCAGCTTGGGAAAGTTATGCATTAAAACTTTGTCATATTCTAGTCTTACTATTTTTTTTTATGTTTTTATTTTTGTTTTTGTTCTAATAAGCTTATTGCTTGGCACGTTTTAGGTTTTTTCATTCTAATCATCTTTTGGTTGGTTGATATGCAGGCTGTAATCAGTTTTATTACAATGCAACTTCAGTTATGTTCTGTCTTCTTCACATTCTCCTTAGGAACTAGAACTCATTATTTTGGACGTACTATCCTCCATGGTGGTGCAAAAGTATGGGTTTGCTTTTGGTTGATCTTACATATTCTAAGATTTTTAGTTCTTCTTTGCCAATTTAATTGATGTACTTTCATCTTTTGCAATTGAGACAGTATAGAGCAACTGGTAGAGGCTTTGTAGTGCGTCATATCAAGTTTGCTGAAAATTACAGGCTTTATTCAAGAAGCCATTTTGTTAAGGCGTAAGTGATACTTTCTGTTGAAATCAGTTAATTTCATTTTTACAAGGAAAAGCTGAAGCACAGGGAACTGAGCTGGCTTGATGTTATTTGTATGAAAAAGTGCAATTGCTTTTGTTTTGAAGCTTTCATGCATAATATTTTTCAGGCTTGAAGTGGCATTGCTTCTGATTGTATACATTGCATATGGTTACACGGATGGGGGTGCTGTTTCTTTTGTTTTGCTTACTCTTAGCAGCTGGTTCCTTGTCATCTCATGGCTGTTTGCCCCTTATATATTTAATCCATCAGGCTTTGAATGGCAAAAGTAAGTTCCACAGCACTTGGATTTTACTACTGTAGCTTTTAACTTCAAACTTTTTGGAATTGATTCTAAGATGCCATTAGAGTATAATTACTGCAAGTCTGCAGCTTTACTGCTTCCATAGGTTACCATCTTGTAGTTATACTTTTTTGGTTTGATGAACAGGACTGTGGCAGATTTTGATGATTGGACCAGTTGGCTTCTTTACAAAGGTGGAGTTGGGGTGAAGGGAGATGATAGCTGGGAGTCTTGGTGGGATGAAGAACAGGTTTGTTGTTGTGATGCTAATTAGTTCTTTATTTCTCATTTATTTTTTGTCAATGCATTTGAGATTTTTTTCTTCATCGCCTGAATCCTGATGTGAATTTACTTTTTCTTTCTTTTGACGGTGTATAACAATGATTTTCAGATGGAGCTTTTCTGTGCTAGATTCTTTTGTGCCCTCAATCATATAATTAGGGACCTTAAAAGTTGCTTCACTGCTTTCTCTGTTTTCATATTTACATTTTCATTTTCAATTCTAAATAATTATTCCATTTCTCTTGCCTTACATTTGTTGGCCAAGTCTCCTTTTTCCGCGATTGTCCAATCAAATAGGTATAATATGTTATTTAGAAACAAGCTTTATGTGTTGGTAGGGATGGCTTGCTTCCTGATAACTGCTTTTCTTTTTTTTTTTTTCTTATTGTGGAAAGTATTACATTTCTTGTGCAGATGCATATCCATACACTGAGAGGCCGCATATTGGAGACAATATTAAGCTTGAGATTCCTAATGTTTCAGTATGGCATTGTGTACAAACTCCATCTTACAGGAAACAATACATCACTTGCGGTGTGCCTCTTGCCCTACTAATTTTCTGGTTCATATTTGTTGGCTTTGTTTCTCAAATTTAATGAAGCATGTTATTGAAACTCATTTCCTTAGCTTTTCTGCTATTTGGAATATTTTCCTTGTCATGTCATCATTTAGCAAACCATTTCTAGCAAATGCTGGAAGATACAAAACTGTGCTTAGTAGGGTGGGAAAGGATAGTAACATGGCATAGAAGTTGAGGATGGAAGTTGTTAGGAATACTTTTTCACATGCATCCATGAATTATAATTGAGCTACACTAGATGAATTAGCGAGGCAAAAATGTTGGGAGAATGTTGAGTTGAGTTTCCAACACTACGAAATTGCCTCCATCACCTGTTAGGCATGTAAGAAGTGACATCTATTTGTTTTTTTTCTCCTAGAATGCACATCAATTAGGAAATGAACGTTTTTATACTTCCAATTTTTTCATCTCTTCTATCAAGAAGAGCCTATGTAAAGATTTAACGATTCTTGAACGCCATTAGAAAGAACATTTGCATGCACTTGCATTATCAATTATGAAGTAGAGGTTTAATGGATTCTTTTGGATTCACATACAGATATTATTCTTCAATGCATTTCCGGTTCCGACTTTTTAAAAAGTGAGAACTTTGCACTGGTAGCTGAATAACCGTAAAAATCTTTCCATGCATATCTATTAATAGTTGAAGGCTTACTGCACATCATCTACAATTCTCCATGATGTCCTATTTGCGAAGTTAGGACTTTTACTGAAATAAATACTTAGATCATTTTTGCCATGGTTTCTCAAACTTAGTTTTCACTTTGTGCTCCTCGGGATAAGCATGGCTAGAGCTCGAACCACTTGAAAATATTGCTGGAAGAATTATGATTTTTTAAGGTTATTATATGTTCTTTCTTGATTAGTGCTACATGGTCTCCTAGTGTAAATGTTGATGCTACTTTATAATGTTAGAGTCTCTACCTCATTTTTAAGTAAAAGGTTTATTTGGACTGAAAGGAGGAAAAGGTGTTAAGTATTTTAAACACATTCATTAGAATGACGTTAGTTATAAAAATTTAATGGAGTGCATAGGAACGTTGAGTACGTTTATCAATAGCTTGTATGTTGTTTCACATAGTTTCTCTTTTTCAAGGTGTCTGTTGGGGCACTGCTATAACGAAAGCTAAATGTTTTTGGTATTCTCAGTACCGATATTTTGTATATTAGCACAGTGAAAGCATAGGTGACTGTTTGCAGATTATGCTTTTCTGTATGTGAATATTTGTTCAACCAATGGAATGGATATAAATTATAATCTATGAATGCTGTTGGAATTTGATAGAGTGCCTACTGACGGTTTGTAGAAATTAAATATGGTGAAACAGTTTAATATGTTGATGAATTGTGTGTGTATATATTTATGTATATGGATATTAATATATGGACCATTATCCAAGAACATTCATATGCCAGTGATCCTGGTTATTGAAATTTTAGTGCCACTTTAAATTATGTCCTGTCGGATTTAGATGATACATTATTGGGCTAAAAGCTCTTATTACCACTTGATCTTGATGGTCTCTTTTGCTGTCAAGGTTTATGGATTTTCCTGGGTTGTTCTGGTTGGATTTGTCGTGTTGTTCAAGGTTAGTATCGATTATCATTTGAGGACCCTTCACCACTTTCCAAACACACCCTTTCCCTGGAAAAAAATAATCTTCAATGTACCGGATTTTTGGTTAAGGTGTCTTAATGATTGATTGTCTATTGGCTCGCAGATATTTACCTACAGCCCTAAGAAGTCCCATGACTTCCAATTGGTGATGCGATTTATTCAAGGGGTTATATCCATAGCCCTTGTTGCTGCCCTTTGCCTTGTTGTTGCCTTTACTAAATTATCAGTTGCAGACTTATTTGCATGCATCCTTGGTTTAATTGCTACTGGATGGACCATATTATGTGTAAGTTATAATTCGCTCTTATTTTCCGCTTTGGATACCTTTCTCTTGATTGAACTTGTGAAAGCAATTCTTGTCGACTAAGGCACTTGTGTAAAAGCCACCTCAGTTGGGAATTTACACATTCCTCGTAACTGAACTTTTGATTTATCTTTGTCGGTAGACACTAACGGGTTTAGTTGTTGTCTACTTTTTCCTTAATCGGAAAGTAGTTTTTATTATCATGTTATTATTTTGTTCTGATACAGACTGTTGAGGCCTTGGTCTTGCTAGTCTAATATTTCTTGGGCTGCTGTATTTTTAGTGGTAGTTCTCTAGATGCATGACCCGACCATTTGTGTCATATCTGTTTCATGTGTCAAAAACACGTGAAAAACATAAAAATTATCTTGTCACAATTTTTGTCTGACATGTCAAATATGAAACAGTTTTTTTTTTTTTTGTTAAATTTATATATGGTTTTTGTCAATTTTAAAACGTTGCTTTCCTTTTTTTTTTTTTGGTATCATTACAGTAGGAAGTTGGTTTTATTAGCCTAACTATTCATTTTGGATTAAGTTCAGACCAGTCTGTGGTTCTATTTTGTATATTTCTAACATTGTTTAATCCATTTTTGTTTCTGTCGATATAGCTGGCTGTGACATGGAAGAAGATAGTTAGGAGTGTGGGTTTGTGGGATTCAGTGCGGGAAATTGCCAGATTGTATGATGCTGGAATGGGAGCGATCATATTTGCACCAGTAGCAGTATTATCATGGTTTCCATTCGTTTCAACCTTCCAGTCTCGCCTTCTCTTTAACCAAGCATTTAGCCGTGGGCTGGAGATTTCTCTAATCCTCGCTGGAAACAAAGCCAATGTCGAGAAATGAGTGCCCGATCTGATCTCTCTTGAATTATACACGGCTTATGTACAACCTATATTTATTATTGTCTCTTTGCTGAGGTTTGCTGCTGTAATGTACATATAATTGTAGAAAGTATGCACAATTTTTTTCACGAGGAATCGTTTCACTAACTTCGGCCATGGAATGTCCAAAGCATCACAAATTTAAACTAGAACATTCTGATATGGTTAAAGACGAAAACAAATTAGAAAAGAAATAGAAAATGGGTTTTTAATTTTTGCCAGTGTATCAAAAAAAAAAAATATATATATATATATATATATATATATTAACGTCCTAAATTAAGGTTTAGTGTTTGACAATTTCAAATGTTAAAAAAGAAAAGCAATGCTAAAATCTACAAAATTAAGAAACCTGCCAGTACTTTATCATACCTAATAACTTGGGTTTGCCCTAGTTGTAACATAGAAGAAAATTTAGGAAAAGATCCAAATTTGTAACACAGTTATTACTCAGATTGTAATAGTCTTGAGAGAATAGTGTTTAAATTCAGGGTAGGCCCAAAGGTGTACATTATTAGCGAGCTTATGGAACAATTGAGAACTTCAAAGAGAGAAAATGGTGGGCAAAAACCGCCACTGGCACTCGGCTCAAGGGTTAATGGTGATCTAAAATTTAGATAAAGATTTTAAACATTTCAGACTTTTGAGTGAGCTATGATACTTTTTCAAAATTAAGCTTACCTGTATAATTTAGACAAAAGGACATCAAGATACTGCCGCCCGGAATACCAGGCCAGCAGGGCTAATTTGATGGAAAGAACTCTAAGGACAAAGTAGGATGGTCTCAGATTTTGCCTTTTTCATGTATGAAAGTAGGTAGATTAACCACCAAAATGCAGTCCAATCAGCAAGCATCAGAACACCCTAGTGGTGAACATGGTAAGGCTGGAATGTGGTTCAAGATCCAAGCAATAGCTCTGATTGCGAGTAAATGAATGGGGCATAAATGAAACCCCAGGACAAAACATAATTCAACAGTTTTCTGAATGACAATAATGGGGAAATCCTAACCCTTTCATTGAACCTAAAGCCTACCCTACCAATTGAACAACAGGTTCATTAGAAAAGTTAAAAGTTACATTTACCGTCCTTCAAATCATCCCCTAGCTTTCTTTGTTGAATGACCAGTCTTCCGTTTGTGACGACTGAAATCTGACACAAAACGAAATGTCTGCCCACAACCTTCCTCAGCGCACACATAAGGACGAGCACCTGTGTGAACCCTAATGTGTTCGGTTCGAGCCCATGCCCACTTGAATGTCATCTTGCAGCCCTTCCAAGGGCATTTAAGAGGTCGGTCATCGATATGAACTCGACGATGCTGCACCAGATATTTGTGTGAGAAGAACTTCTTTCCACACCCTTTGACTGGACAAATGTTTCTTTTGTGCAGGACCAGCTCTTGTTTCAAGCCAAAACTCATGGTGCAGCCTTCCATGTCACACTGATATTCTGCTTCCTCATCTTTTACTTTTGCAGTGTTGTGACCAGCTAGAGTTTTCACATTTGAAGCATTCTTCACTTTCTTCTTACTAGCTTGCTTCTTCTCTTTTGGTTTTGCTTCTGACTCTTTCAAAGGCTTTCGGACTCTTTTCCTAAGGCGCGTGCTGGGTCCACCTTCTATCTCATCTTCACCATATGAATTGCACTGTCTAGCACTTTGCTCAATTTTGGTGTTCCGATTCCGAGGAGTCTCTAGTTTCATTTGCTGAGAGACTACTTGCTTTGTTGTCCGACGTTTCCCTTGTTTCACATTCTGAGGAGTTTCTTGTTGGATTTGTCTTGGTGTCTGGGCTTTCTTTTTTCTGCTTCTAAGATTCCTATTTGGTTGATGATAATTCTCTTCCAATGAATCATATGAAACTGCATTCTCCCTTTCAATAAATTTCCCTTGCCTGCTTCTAGGAGTCTTTCTGAGCTGCTTTGGAGAAGTATCATCCAGTGAATCATCTGAAACTGCATCTTCCCTCTTAAGAATTTTGGTATGCTTACTTCTCGCAATCCTCCTAAGCTGCTGAAGAGAACTATCACCTGGAGAATCAGATAAAACTGCATCTTCCCTCTCAATATACTTGGTTCGCTTACTTCTAGGAACCTTCCTATGCTGTTGATGAGAATTACCCTTCAATGGACCAAAAGAAACTACAACTTCTCTATCGGTATATTTGGCCACTTTGCTTCTCCTCCTATGCTGCTGTTGAGGATTATCCTCTAGTGAATCATCTGAAAATGCATAATCTCTTTCCATGCGCTTCATGTGCTTGCCTCTAGGAATCCTCCTAAGATGACGTTGAGAATCATCATCTGATGCATCATCTGACATTGCATAATCTCTCTCAAAAAATTTTGGATGCTTGCCTTTAGAAATTCTTCTATACTGTTTAAGGGCATTATCTGCTCGTGAATAATCTGAAATAGCATCATTCCTTTCAAATGACTTGATTTGCCTGCCTCTAGGAATCCTCCTTTGCAGCTGATGAGAAATTTCCTCTTGTTCATCGTCTGATACAGCATCTTCTACCTCCATAAATTTGGCCTGCCGGCTTCTACGAATCCTCCTATACTGCTTAAGAGAGCTTTCATCAAGTGAATCACCTGAAACTACATCATCTTCTTCAAAATATTTCCCTTGCTTGCCTCTGAGATTCCTCCAATGCTGCTGAGCATTAAAATCCTCTTCTTCATCCTCTGATTCAGCAGCTTCTCTTTCAAGAAATTTTGCCTGTTTTCGTCTAGAGAGATTTCTACACAGCAGAAGAGAATCATCCTCAAGCGAATCATATGAAATTGCCTCTTCTTTCTCAATTAGTCTAGGCTGCTTGCCTCTAAAAAATCTCTGTTGCTGCCTAAGAGAACTACCATCCAATGAATCATCTGAAACTGCACCCTGTGGCTCGATGCATGTCACTTTCTTGCTTGGTGCAATCTCAGCCCTCATTTTTCTCTTTCTATTAAACACTTTAGCCACCTTGGTTGTTTCAGCTTTCTGAACATTTTCTCGTTTTCTCTCAAGATTTTCATCGGAAGTTGCCCAAGCATGGAAGCATCTTTCTTGTTCTTGTTCATCAGGATCCCTTTGTGCCAAAAATGGATGAACCTGATTCGACATCCAAACTTTACCACACCATTTTCCAGCCACTACTTTTTTCTGTTTGCTAGACCTCCTCCCATACCTGTTCAACTTTGTGGGTGAGCTCGCAGGAGATTTACGGCCAAATGCACTGTATATAACACAGTTGTATGGCATCTGTTTACTGTATAGTGTAGAGCGGCTGAGATTGGCACTATAAAATAGGTTAATACCCAGCTTTACTGCCCAGTCCCCATTTCCATGTAGAGCATCCTCACTATCAAGAGCTGAATGGATCCTCTCCTCATCATCCTTGGTGGCATCCCCAAACAAGATGTCATTCCACTGATAATCAATTTCTAATTCTTCAGCCACCAGCTTCGCTTCTGCTTCTATCTTGGGATATTCTGCATTGTTTATAGATAATCGTTAACGACTAGAGAGAAAGAACTGAAAACAGTTATCTGGTAGAACTACTGATTAGTTTTCTAGAAGATGCAAAACATGCAAATAATAATAACAAGTAGCTGGAGACGTTTCCCAGGGAAAAAATTGTTGCAATTAGAAGAAACATATCAAGGGACAAGTTCGCTGGTGCATGGTGCCTGTCATTTATTATAAAAATAGTGATCAAACTTTACTCTCTGAATTCACCTGCAGGGCAATATTCCCCTTCCATGTGTATCAATAATCTCAACACAAAAAGGTAGAGCATAGGAAGGTTAAAATACAGGAAATACTTGGGCATTTCACCCTAGTTGACTTTTTTATTCACATGCTTACATGCAGTATCATCCAAAAAAAGTTGCATAAGATAACGGAAACATAAGGGAATGCACATTACTTTACAGAAATACTATCTCCCCATTTTTTTTTTCTTTTGGGGAAGGGTGAGGAAGAGGTCATCCAAAAAAGTTGCATAAAATAATGGAAACATAAGGGAATGCACATTAATTTACAGAAAACAGTATATCCCGATTTTTTTCTTTTGGGAAAGGGTGAGGACGAGGAATGTAAATTTATGTCAAAATATTCAATTGTGTATAATGTATGCCAAAATCTACCTGGATGACAAAGAAGAAATACATGCACTCCTCCTATTTGACGAAGTTGCTGTTCTGCTTCTACAGCATGCTCAAGACAGAAGACATGCATTCGAGACGAATCTTCATCAGATCTAGGAGCATATGGAATATCTGCATTCTCCATTGGGGCAATGGCCTTGCTACACCTCATTTTCTCTGTGCCATGAGTGGCTGGGGAGCAACTTGGATTAGCATGTGATACAGTGATTGGATCTCTAAATTTATCCTCCAAACTATTTGATCTTCCTGAAGCAAGATTATCAGTTTCAAACTCAACTGCTCTGTCAACTGTTTGGGGGCTCCTATACTTGATGTCAACTCTTCTAGATCCAGGTTCTGAACAGGAATCAGTAACATGGATGGGAGCTTCCTCCTCAGAATCAAGCCTTGATAATGAGGAAGTGTGACTCCGATTTGCATTGCCAGGAGAGAAACCGGAACCATTATACTGAAATTTCCTTCCTGGTGAAGTGTTTGCTGAACTTGTCTCATCACCAAAGACAGTAGCATTTGGTTCAACATGATCTTCAGAATCAGATGAATTTCCATATGCTGAAGCTAATAGACCAAGAGCAGAAGTATCTCCCCCTTCTTTAGTATCTTCCACCACTTGGTTAGTTTGATCTACCATCTGAAACTTGTACTCAACAGACTGAACAGGGACATCATATAAAGCATTTGGGGCACTTCTATTTATCCTCCCTGTATCAAGGGGAAAAAAGCTCATGATTGGTTCAGAACAAATAAAGGAATTTGAAGGAAAACCGGATCAAAGAGTAAATCTTCAGCAAAAGAAATAGCAGAACACTATTCAGATAAAATATTACTAACAGAAGCTCGGATAAGCATGCTGATCTATAGACAAGCATATTATCGAAGGCATCATGCAGCATAAGTAGTTTAACTCAAACATGACAACCATCACATCCTATTTAGATGCAAGTATGTGAGCCCAAACAAAAGCAAATTGCCATGAGACTTGATATTAAACGGGGCATCAATACCCATTACCTTATTTAAATTATCCTCTCTCTATTACACTCTGGAAATATGAATT